TGCTTCGTGTGGCTTGAGAGTCATGTAAGTAAAGGAACAATTGAACCAGTTCAGTGGTGGGATTCAAATTTTTTTACTACCAGNAAAAAAAAATTGAATTTCACCACTATTAGCCCCTTCAATTTATGTGTTATACCTAAAAGTTCACCAATGTGCATAATTTAACCTAAGACTTAAATAAAAAAATTAACTATCAATTATTCTGTTCTAATTATTCTACACTATTTTTAGTGCGCTATATCAATTTAATATATAAGTAAATTTATTTATTCTTCAGAAACTTGTAGAGCTGATCAAGTTGACATGGACCGCAACAATATTCAAATGAGTTGGATTACTAAATCAACATCTTGGAGAGCATCTGATTATTGGATGCAGTTTGCGTGTAAACCAGGATTTCGTAAGCATCCATTATCATCACCTTTTTTGAAACAGTGTGTAAAGGGCCCCTGGGTGTATCCCAGATGTGTATAATAGAGTTAAGTATTTCTTAATTCACCTATAAAAAATTCACTCATATTCGCATAACTTTCTCCCTGTATGTTGGCGTGTAATTGCCTGACTATACTTTTAAAAATCAGGAAGGAAGAATGTAGGGGCAAACAGTCTTGACTCGTATCCTGTCTGCTGACATCTCCTGTATTGGTGATTATTTGTGAGGTTTTGGGTCGTTAGAATCCTCAGAAGTGAAATTAAGTGACATATGTTGTCATCTGCTCAGAAGCACAAATACTGGTTTCCTATTTAATCATAATTCCCCACCCCTTCTTGATAACTAACGATTTACGTTGTGTGCCGTCTGGAAATCCCATCTGAGGGGGGGGGGATCACAGTACACTACTTTGCCAATCCACCTTTCAATTGTAGACCATTGTAAGAATTCTAGTACCTAGAACTGCTGTTCCAAACTATACCCTGGCATTTCAGGTTGCCATAGCAAACTCACAGGAACCAGGATATTTTAAAGGGAAACACAGTGATATTCAACATCCGCAGCACAGAAACTGTTAATCGTGTTTAAAATGTAAAATATCTCACAGCATTCCTATGCAAATTCATTGTGTTAAACTCATAGTTCTCAAACGGTGTGCCAGGATGCCCAAGGTATCAAAGCCAGTTCATGAATCGAGGGACACTCTGAAAAAACTACTGAGAAATGATGGGCACCATGAACCAAGAATTTTTGGGACCTACACATTTTGCCAATATTGGTTTAGTCCTGCCAGTTCATCAATGACTTCTCTAGTGGCCTCCCACTAGTTTAATGGGGCCATGTGTTATAGCCAGAGGTGGGTTCCTACCTGTTCGGACTGGTTTGGCCAAACTTGGCGGCCTGGGTCGCTTGAACTGGCAGTTACCCAGGCCTGCCATTCTCCCGAATCAGTTCTCTTGGTGGTGCCATAGGCGCCGCCATCTTGTTTTGCCTTCTGCGCATATGCAGAGCAATTTTTGTTGCACTGCGCATGTGTGTGGGGTGCATTCCTGAGCAAACCAGCAGTAGCGGCAGCCAGAACCCGTCCCTGGTTACAGCATTGGTTTATAAACTATCCTTACACTATTCTGGCCTCTGTTTCTATTTTAAAAATGTGCATGTGACAGATTGTGTAATTATTTTTTTCAGCCATTAAGTAAAAACAAGGTCTTTACTTGTAAAATATACACTGTTAAATTAATTGCCTTAAAACTTTTAGGAGTTTACTAGGGTAGCAACTGACAGAGCAGTTCATATTGTACTGAAAAGAATTTTAAGGCTGCCAGGTGGTAATTAAAAAAGCTACAATTCATCAAGAAAATGTGAGGATTGCTGTGTTTGCCATAATCTGTTTAATTCAAGTTCTATGCAATAGATAGAACATTGCATGAGTTTTTATCCTTGTTAAAAACTCTCATTTTTAGAAAGCTGGGATTTGTGTAAAGGGAAATATGTTTAAAAACATCCTGCATATTGTTATTCTAATTACATACTGCTTAAGTTGTTCTAACATGTTAATAATGTTAAAGAAGATATAAGTAATAAACAAACCTGCTGGGATGAAATAATGTAAGCCATACATTTGCTAGTTGTGGAAACTTGGGTAGAATCAATATTCTTCATTGTTCAAATCTCACATATTATCAATGGCTTTTATTCTTTGATCACTTGCTTCCTGATGTATCACATATACCAAATATATCTATCATTTGTTTCTATATTGTACCAAAAGACTCGCCTTGAATAAAGACGGTTTACTTTGCTTGAATTACTTGGTGATTCATATTTTTTGGGAGGGCAAAGAAGAGACACTTTGCAAAGGTAAAAGTAAAGGTAAAAGGTAAAACACACTTTTACCTTGCAAAGGTAAAAAGTATCTCTCTAATATTCAGGGATCCAGTTCTTATCAATTCCATGCCAAATTCGGGGTGCATGAATATTGAGGAAGCAGTTAAATAAAATTAAAACAAAATGCTACAACTGATCGTACATCTGCAATGAGAATCTGTCACCATAACACATCATGAAATTTGGAAATGCCTCGCCTAGTTTTCCAGCAGTTGCACTTTGCACACGTGGTGGCAGCCAACGAGCATCTTCTGAGAAGCTTGTCAGTTGTTTACCCAAGTAGTTGCTTAGCAACCTGATGCAAATGGGGGAGGGATTCTTCAAAATAGAATAACGGTCATTTATTCAGTAATAAATGAATAATACAGTAATAATGTAAAAGTAAAACCCACTGACGGGATAGAAAGGAACCGTTTCTGACAGCCGGGATAGACACAAACTGAATTATCGTCTCTTCATCTTCAAGCTCCAGAAGAGGCTCCAACAATATGAGTCATGCTTTAAGGATAGCAGGAGTGGGGAAAGCTGCACATATGACATCACTTTTCATCCTTTATTTTCTCCATTTCAGTTGCAGTCAGAGCAAAGTGTAAAAGCAAAAAAAGTGGATTGGAGAAGTGTGTTTTATTATGCAATCACTTATCTCATTCATGGAATTGTTTCCCTTAGTAGCTTCTCATTGTTTTTCACACTATTTTTCTTTTTGCATCCCACAGAAAATCTGTTAGACAGGAAGGAAGGGTCTTCTGATTAATTGCACTGGAAGCCCACCATGTGGAAGCATCCAATCATCCCATGAGTGCATGATTTGTAAAATATATACGAAAAGAAAAAAAAATAATATACTAATTTAATTAGTAAATAATTAAATTCCCAAGCAATTTCCTGATTATGCAACAGGCAGGAAAACAAAATCTGCTATACTATCAGAAGTAAACAGCCAAACACCGACCATTTATCTCTACCATCACAATGTGCCAGTAGAGATAAGTATCAGCTCCATTGCTCTGCTGAGCCACTGGATGACTTAACCGTTGATCAGAGCACTAAGCATTGTGGGTCAGTTCTGCTTTTAACCTGCTCAGAAAGTTACAAAACCAAATAATTAGCTCTTGCCAATCAGGGCAATTGCCAATTGCCCCAAATTCATAATTCATTTTTGAAGAATGGGAAAACAGTGTAAAAGTAATTGTGGGCTACGTTTCTACCAGGTTACATTGTGTGGTGACCTGGAATCTTTAGTTTTGCAGTCTTAACTTCAGGTTGCAAAGGTTTCCCCAAAGCTTATTGGAAGAAGAATCAAGAAAGCAAAAAGAAAATGGGTTCCTCCAAAGTCAAAAACATGCACAAACAAAGCAGACTGAAAAATATATTAAATTTACCTTTAATTAATTTACCTTTAGGGATGCGGTGCTCAGTGGCTAAGATGCTGAGTTTGTCGATCAAAAAGGTTGGCAGTTCAGCAGTTCATAGAGTTCAGCAGAGTTCAGTTCAGTTCAGCAGAGCTGAGGTGGCCCAGTGGTTAGGGTGCAGCACTGCAGGCCGCTTCAGCTGACTGTTATCTGCAGTTCGGCGGTTCTAATCTCTC